GTGAATAAATAGATAGTGAGAAATATAGAGATGAGATGGGAAAATATGGAAAGAGAAAGTGAAATGAGAATGAAATATGATAAGGATGAGTATGAATAGTTCAGATGTACACTGAGAGTGTGGAAGATAGAGACGACTGAGAAGTTTTGGGAAAATGAGGGTGGTGGATGCTCCTCTTGAATTGCGCAAAACAAATAAGAGTAGGAGCACCATAGGCCTCATACTTGTTTCTTGACTAATACTCCTGACCATGCTTTTGCTAAAAGGGGTCGGGTCGGCACACGTTATATCCGTGTAGGTGCAGCTATCCAGCGACTATCTATATTAAGGAAGACCTCGAGAGATCCTAGGGGCAATGAAAGTGAAATGAGAATCCCGAGTATGAAGAAAGAGATGAAGAGTAATAATTTGAATACTAAAGATTATTGCATGTATATGATGAGTAGGACTTTGTAACATGATTGATTGTTATATTATCTTTGTTTTATTGTGTGAATAATTGTGAATGTATGCTTAGTAATATGAATAGAGACTTATCCTTATGTAAACATTTCAGGGAATCCAGATGACAGCACCCACTGAGAGGATTAAATTAATAGATAACTCTATAATTAATAGACTAAATTATGTATTTAATGAGTATCAAAGACTTTGTTTCTTTAGGATTGCTATAGATGTAAATGATGTACCTAGTGATACTATTATGATGGAAATGGAATTAGCTTTTAGTGTCCCTTTTGATTTCTCCTCAAGTAGAATCCATCATACTCTTTGTGTATATATCTTTCCTGGTACTGTGAGGATCCCAGCAGCTTTGACCTACCTTTTCACGTACCACAATTATTATAGGAGACTATCTCATTGGACGTTTGAGAGTATCACCGGTGTCCAGGTTACTGCAGACCCTGGTGATCTGTATCTCAGATCAGATGATGATCTCGACTCCGATGATATTGCGATGATAGAGAGATGACACGAGGATGACTAGTGTCTCTAGTCGTGTGATGGATATACTACTCATTAAGACATATCATATTTTGTATTTTGTAAATATTGTAAAATGAGTCTTGATGTATTTTGAGGTATATTTGATAAGATTAGTCCAATGTAAACTCTTTAGAACCATATATTTATTAATGTTATTTCATTTTTTTTTACTTCTTTCATTTCCTTGGATTTGTTCTCTAAATTTTTTTTAGTATAAATTAAATAAATGAAATGTTCTATAGTTACATGCTTCATACTCGACTCGCAAATACATTTGAATTAATTATTCCTTTTTAACTAATAATTTATTATCTTATGATTTTGAATAAAATAAGAATGTTACATACTCATAATAAATGTATTGTAATACAGCAAGTTATTTGGTCAAGACTCGTGTATTATGACACATTGCTCTATAAAAGAGTGTGGAAAAGAATGAGAAATGTGGTGGTGAGTTTAGATAGCTATAGTGATACAACTAGGGTATAGAGTTTGGAAAAGATTTAGAAAAATCTTGGAGAAATGAGGGTGATGAATGCTAGTATGGATAGTGCACAATGACATGCTGGAAATAAAAGCATTCACAGGCCACACACTTATTTTCTGACGAGACTCCTGACTATGCCTTTGTTAGAAGGGGCTGGGTCGGCACACGTGTATCCGTGTTGCGGCTAACCGACGGCTATCTAAACTGTGAAGTCCTCAAGGCATCCCAGGGGCATTGAATGTGAAAGTGAAATAAATGTGAAAGTGTGATGTGTATGAATTGATATAGAAATTGTGCAGTCATAATATATGCATTGTAACATGTCGATTGGTGTTGTTATGATATATGTGTTGTAATACATCGACAGGTGTGAGTAGGACACATGTGTTGTGACATATTGATTGACATGGTATAATACATGTAGTATGGCATGCTAATCAGTAGAAAGATGCATGATCTGAAGTTGTGAGTGTGATTGATTGTTTGTTCCATGCGTGCTTCTTGGTAATGGCAGCTTGGATGATTTTAGCATTATTGTTGATTTAATTTGTGCTAGGTGGTATTCTTAGTACTGTACATGCATGTGAGTATTTACTTATGTTAAACCAGAGATTTAGTAGGGCAGGAGATACTCACCCTTACTAATATTTTTCAGGCAATGGATGTGAAGAGACAAAGATCTTTGACCCATCCTAGGATTATAATCCAAGAGTGTTGAAAGAAAGACTGCTCTGTAGGGATTAACATAATTAAGAAATCGTATTGTTTTATTAAGTTATAATTTGGGTTGACTAAAGTTTGTAAATGACTTTAATGTTATATTTTAGAATTTAAATCCTCGAGCAGATTTTGGTTGTATAGAATATTTTGGAAATGTTCTTGGTGGAACTTCAAAATTTATATGTATTCCAAATGAATTGAATGGTTTGTTAGAAGTAAAGTTGAGTTTTATTTGATTATTTAAAGTTTCAAAGTTTGACCCTTAAAAGCTTGACTTCTCTTAGAGTCTTATGAAAATTTTCAAAGAAGTAAATATAAAATTTTGTCTTTATTCTATTATTAATTCCAAGAATAGAAACAAATTTATTTTTATCAGCCATGAAAATTTGTTTACTGTTAAAAGAAAATTTAAGGTGTTACAAATAATGTGCATGTTAAGCAAAAATTACAGCAAACAAATTCCTTGTATCTTTTATCATTGAACCACATCTCTTTAGTCATTACTCCTATTTTGATTACACAAATTGTTAATTTCTAAGATAATTGAGATGAATATATGATATTTTCAAATTCGATTGGTTTCATTTACAAATATCATATTTCAAAGTATAACAATGCAAAAAGAGTATGATTATTTAAGTTTAGAGTTTAGGATGGATTTTGGAAACAAGTTTGCATACTATTAAGAAGGAAGAAATAAAGAGGAATTGAAATAAGATAAGGAGAAATCAAACAAATGTTCTAAGACAATATTCCAAGCGAGAATTATTTAATTTCTTTTGATCTCTTGCCTTGAATATATCTTTTTAGACTTTTGTTAAATAAATTTCAACTACAACCACTCAATTTATCGTCAAACTTGCTAGAAACACAAAAAATTCTTGCACTTACTTAAAAAATAAAGATGAGAGTGAGTTTGAGAGGATATAATTAGGTTTCAAGTGAATGAACAATTATGTTCTTAAAAGATAGTTGCTTTAAATATATATATATATGTTAAAGGACCTATTTTAAATATATAAGAGATTGAGACCCTAAAAATAGAAAAAAATTAAGATAATTTTTATACTGTAAGAATGAATGTTGATAAAAAAATCTAAAAGTTCATATAAGGTAATCTTGGAGAGTTAAATATTAATTTTAATCTTCAAAATTTAGAAACAAATTAACAAAAATGTGGATAAAAAATAAAATTATTAAAGTAATTCTTATATCATTTTCAGTCAATTTTAATGCTAAAATATACATGTAACAATTGTGAAGGAGAATAGTTTCATAAATACTTTCTTTTTTAAATAGTGAATTTTCATTTATAATATAAAAATTGAGTACTAAGACTCATTTGGACTCAAAATAAGATAGTAGAACATGACTTGTATTTTATTTTATTTTTAATATTTTGTGAAGTAACAAGATATAATAGCTTATCATGTTGTTATAGATGCTGAGTTAGAAATTATAGGATGAGATAAGTTTACTTTCCATTCTTTTCTTACACCTATTACAAACCTTTTTCAATACTTTATAAAAAAATAATCATTTGAAAAATATAATTTTAATACATTTTGTAAAAACATTATATTTTGAAAAATATACTTTTATAAAAAAAATTACTCATTTTATAAAACATAGTTTTAAATATTTATAACTTATTTTTGTTTCAATCATAATTTATTACAGAAAATACTTATAAAAAAATTAAGAAAATTATTACAATTTAATGTCAAAATTTCAATATTATTTGCACACAATTTTTTAAAAATAAACATTTTATCAAAAATTTAATTTTTTTTAAAATTTATTAATTTTGATAAAAGAATAATTTTTATTTAGATATAATTTGTGTTTTACTTTTATTATTTTATTTATCTCAAATATTAAATATAATTAAATAATATTATCTTTTTTATTATCTTAATATACATCAAACATAAAATAAAATAAACGTGTATATTTTTTATTCTATCTTATTTTTATCTAACTCTCATATTTTATATTTGGCTTAGTTATAGATCTTGGTCTTATATTTAATGTACGTGCAATTTTAGTATTCTAGTTTTAATTGCTCAAATTTTATTTTTATAATTTTTCAAATGTCCAATTTAAGTCTTCTAACATTGAATTTTATTCAATAATTAATAAAAATATAATAGAAATTTGACTTTATATTAATTTATACAAATATATAAATAAAAATAACAAAATATTTAAATAAAATAATAAAATAAATAGTACAGAGTATAATAAAAATTTTAATTTTTTAGTGGAAAAGTTAATTTGAAAAATTAAAGAAACTAAATTAAGTAATTACAACTAGAAAAATAAAATTAATAATTCAAACCACACAGAACAAGTCTTAAAATAAATATATTTATATGCAGAAGTATTTTTTTGGTGTAAACTAAGTTACCAGTATCTAAACAACATACGAGATAATCATAACTTTATAAAATTCTGAAAGCCACACAATTTGACTAATTGCACCATATTATATCAAGTAAAAATTTAAAGATCATCATGGTTCAAGAGAGAAGAAATATTACTAACATCATCCATTCAAATGTCCCTATCAAATTATCAAATATACATTCGTGGCAGCATATCACCTTCCGAAATGGAACTTGCACCTAGTAAATAACCAGAAAAAAAAAATGTCATCTCTACTCAACTAGCATTAATTGCGTGTATACAAATTACAAATAAATTTTTGGTGCTTACACAAGATATAGTTGCATTTAAATCATAATATACATGGATATCCAGTAAGCAATGAATAACAAATAAGAAGGTATAAAAAACTTTACCTTCAATCTTGGATTTGGAATCTTCTTTTCATTCTGGCTATGAAGACAACTAGTGTCACATATATCCAATCATTTATGTTGTTGAAGAATTGAAAATAGGCATATCTCCATGAACTTTTTATGAGTAAAGTCCCACAAACTCCCCAAAATCCAACAATAAATCCAAACACCACGCTGATGTAAAACCCAAAGGTTATGAGTTGATCTTCACCAACATTAGTGTCATGTTTGAAAGTGCTTCCCGAAGGTGAAATAGCATCCCCTGGACACCGATTTGTGAGGGGTAGGCCACAAAGTCCATTATTCCCTACATATGTAGATGCATTAAAGGACTGTAGTTGTGTGCTTATAGGAATTTTCCCTGATAAGTTGTTACAAGACAAGTTCATGTAACTCAGAAAATTCAATTTTGAAAAGCTGGATGGCATGCTTCCATAGAGATGGTTTTTGGACAAGTCAAGTGATTCCAACATCTCTATATGACCAATGTTGTTAGGAATGAAACCTGTGAGATTATTTCCTGAAAGATTTAAGGAAGCTAATGCCACAAGTGTTGTTATACTTTGGGGTATCTCTCCTGTTAAGTGGTTGTAAGAAAGATCAATGATTGTCGTAAGTCCAAGAATTTTCCCATATTCTCTATTTTCTCCTTTCCATACCAATATTGCTTTGTCCATAAACATGTTTGTTTTATCAGTATCTTCAATTGAATAAGGTACGACTGAAACATAGAAAAAGTCTTTCCTTGGAAACTTTATTTTTGACAAAGCATTTATGTGACCAAGGCATTGTGGTATTTCTCCTGTGATATTGTTGTTAGAGAGATCCAATACTTGAAGAGATAATATATTACACAAACTTGTTGGGATATTTCCTTGGAACTTGTTTGCTCGGAGACGCAAAACAATCAACCGATGCAAGCTATTGCCTATCCATTCTGGTAATGTTCCTTGGAGATTGTTATCCCCAAAATCAATGAATGTCAACTGGGTGCAATTAGTCAAATATGGAATTCCACCAAAGAATTTGTTGTTATTTAAATGCATGGTCTCAATATCTGGTAAAGTGCCAAATGACTTGGGTATTTCTCCAGACAGATTATTTTTGGCCAAATCCAACACTTGTAAATATTTAAATTTGCCCCAACAATCTGAAAGTGGCCCTTCCAGCAAGTTACTAGACAGGTCAAGATAAGATAAAGCCACTGGTGATGATGCACAAAAAGAAGATATTGAGCCTGAGAACATATTATTTGAGACAAATAGAGCATATAGTTCTGGAAAATGAGGTAATGGACCAGACAAATTGTTGAAACTAAAATCCCATATATTCACAATTGTTGTCATATTTAGAAATGTTTTTGGCAATGCTCCACTAAGTTTGTTATGTGAAACATTCAAGTATGACAATTGTGATGATAGGTCCCAAAACCATTTAGGAAATGTATCTAAAATACTGCTGTTAGACATTTGTAAGTACTCAAGTTCCCTTAGATGTTTGAGCCATGTTGGAAATTTAGGGCCCAAAATGCATGATGATGCATGTAATCCAATCAATTGGAAAGGTGGAACCCAATTTGAACTCAAATTGAATAAAAGTGAATTTTGAGCCACATTTAAAATTTGCAATCTAGATAGGTTTGATAGATGTACTTCACTAACAATCCCATTCAACTTATTTGAAGAGAGAGTCAATCTCCTGAGACTAGAAAGTTGCCCAATAGCATATGGAAGTGTCCCATTCAATTGATTATGGGAAAGATCCAAATTTTCTAGTGAAGCAATTTTACTAACCTCAAATGGTGGAAGTGATCCACTCAATTGGTTAAAGCTGAGGTCTAGAATTGCAAGATTAGGCAAGTGACCAAATGATTGTGGTAGTGGCCCAACGATACTGGTATTTCGAAGTGATAATGTCTTCAAGGACGAAAGCCATGAAAAATCAGGAAGTGGGCCACTCTTAAATGGGTTACTGCTGAGATCCAGTGTTTGTGTACTACACAATTGTTGTATGCAATCACTGAGTCGGCCAGACAATTTGTTCGATTGCAGCTTTAACTCTTTAAGTTGACAAATTTTTTTAAAGGATTTTGGTATGCCACCATCAAGTTCATTATTTGAAAGATCAAGATATTGAAGAGAAATCAATTTTGCAAAGCCATCTGGAATACTTTGTTGCAAAGAATTATATGAGAGATCAAGATGTGTGAGGACTTTGCTAGCATTGAGTACCCATGATGGAATTGAAGAGCTTAAATTATTGCCTGAAAGACTCAAGATTTTGAGAGAGTTGGAAAAATTCTTATGCACAATAAATTTAGGATTGACTTGGTGGATCCCACAATCATCTAAATAAAGATTTGATAGAGAAGGGATTTGGCTTATTGATGATAGCCAATCTAAAGCTCTTCTAAGATTAATAACTGAGAGATCAAGGTATCTCAAATTAGAAAGACGAGATACCCATTCAAGGTTATTTGCAAACAAGTAATAATTATACCCAATATCAAGAATTTGCAATTTGGAAAGGTTTCCAAGAGTGTGAGGAATGACACCACCAAGTTCATTAAATTTAAGTCTCAACTCTATCAATTCACCAAGGGTACCAATGCAGTGTGGAATCTCTCCCTCCAAGTCATTTAATGCTAGATTCAAGGAGGTTAGATGTTGCAATTCACATATTGAAGAATCTATCTTACCTCCCAATGATGGATAATGTGAAGACTCGAGATCTAACCTGGTTACATGTCCAGTTAAATTATTGCATGAAACTCCATTCCAATTGCAACAATCTTCACCCTTCCATGAGGAGAGAATGTCCAATTCATCAATGAAACCATCTTTTAACTTTAGAAGAGCCTGTGTGTCTTTCACGGTGCACTTCTCAGGAAGAGAACTTCCAACACATATGTAGATGCATACAATCAACATCAAATAGGAAACAATGAACCTTCTGCTAAACATGGTGCTCAATTCAATTCCCTTGAGAATGTTTTTGAAATAATTAAAACTGAAGAAAGCATAGGGAACTTATCAACTCAAATGAATTATGAAGTGAAAACTAGCTAGCTAGAGCCACTTATAGACAGCTATGAATGAATCATCTTTCTAATCAATCGCATGAATAATCTGGCTAAATGATTAAAATAACACTTTTTTAAAAATTAATTACTAAAATAAAGTAAAAAAAACTTAGTTTTTGTTTGGGATAAATTTTCGTCACGTAGAAAGTGATTTTGTATTAATTTTAGATAAAATTAAATTTTTTATTTTTAATTTAATAATTTACCCTACATATAGACAAAATAAATAAAAGATTTGAATTAAATTTTCTAGCCTGCGACACTTGACTCAATTAGGATATTTTGTCTCTAAGCCAGACAAAAAGCTGATTTCGTTTTACTTAGGAATGAAACATTCTTATTGGGCTACGTGTTGACGGAGCAACGGTAACTGCCTCTCTCTTCTCTTCTCTCTCTCCGTAGTTGCAATTGCATTTCCTCCATTTTTTTCGTTCAACAACCTTGAGTGATTTCTTTTTTATTGTTTTAACGTAATTTGTGAGTAAGCTTCGTCATCTATTGCAGAATCGTGTCCAGATCCACTTGATTTGCAAACAATGAAGGTGTTTTTAGACTGAAATTTTGAGGAAGTTGGAAGAACGGTAACCTTCTACACAGTCACCGTTAACAGAGAAGATCAGTAGTAGAAGGTTACCGGCATCTAGACAACTGGCCGTTATCCTTGGGAACCCTCAGTCGTTGCCAGAAATCACCACCTCCGCCGCCAGAAATCTATCAAACAGGTTTTTTCCATTTTAAATATAATTATTTTATATATTTTTTTATATTTTTTATAAATAAAAATACTTGTAATGTAATATTTTGATTAAAAATTTTAAAATTTTATAAAAAATAAAAAAAAAATTATTGATGAGAAAATTTTTTATATTAAAATTAATATTAAAATTGAAATTTTATAACTAAATTTATTAAATTTTAGCTTGTAGAAAAATCTTATAGTAATATTTAGATTAAAAATATAATCTAAATAATTTTGGTAATTTTATAGAAATTAAAAAATAACCAGAATTTGTGAAATTAAATATGTACAGTAATATTTAGATTAAAAATTAAGCTTGCATTTAAAATTATTATACTAATTTGAGGCTTAAATTATAAAATAACTAAAAATTAATTTAAAAAAATTAAATACAATAATAAATAGTTAAAAGAATTAGAATAAAAAATTAGAAAATAATTGTATCAGATTGACTGATTAATTATACAAGAAAGAAATGATAATTAGAAAATAGTATTTAAAACTTATAACATAAATTATGTGTTTGATATTATATATCATTAAAATAGGTAAATAGATATATTTATTTATGATTAAAGAACAGATTTAGATAATTACGAAAAAAAATTATAGTAAAAATTGAAAGTATTAAAATTGATAACACTAATATATATTAAAATTGAAGTAGTAAATATTTAAGTTTATAAATAATTGCAAAAAAAAATTAATATTGGTTAATTATGATGAAATAATAAATTTAGTTATCTAATTTATACCATCTGTACCATTTATATTTTTCATTTTCATAAGATTAGGCAGCTATATTGATAATCTTAAGTCTAACATATTTGACTCAACTCTTGAACTCTCACTAAATACAATATCCACATATAATTTAATAACAATTGTAATACTTTGTTGTTGATACGTACTAATCATATAATTAATATTTTCATCATCACATATATCTAATGCAGTGTATTGTTTAGTTCTTAAATCAACCATAAAATGAGAAATTATTCTAGATATGAAATAATTATTACTAAGATTTAATTTGTCATGAATCTTTTTTTTCAAATTCATAAAACTTATTCATCTTTGTATCTTTATCATTTTTTTGTTACCTTTAAATATCACACATTCATTTTCAATAATAATTTTTTTATTCTAATATACAATAATAATAATTTCACTCATCCTACGTTAAAAAAAATAAAATATCAATAAATAATTACAATTATACTTATTTATATAAATAATAAAAAATATATTATTATTGAACCACACAAATATATTACTACATTTCATATCATTTTATATTACAAAAAATTTTATATTTTTTATACATATTCTACATATATAATAAATATTTATAATAAATATAATATCTATTTTTAAATATTAAACATCTATTGACATAATAAATATAACTATCTTTATTTATTTAAGTAATTAAAAAAATATCTCAAATTTATTAATAATAAAAATATTTAACAAATTTTATAACTAAACATAACCTCCTCTTCGCAAAGATAGGAATATATACTTTAAATTTGCTTGACATTTGGGTGGAGCTGCGGTAAACTGAGGGGGGAATGAGCGCTTTCGTCCCAAATGGAGACAAAAAACTACAGTTTCGTCACAAATTTAACTACAGTTGGACACTTATTATTGTCTCATATTTTTATTTTTAATTTAACATATTATGTTACATGAAACTATATACACGTGACGAATTTTGTAGTATTTTATCTATATTTTAGATAAATTTAATAAATAAAAAATAAAAAAAATTAATTTTATCTATATTAAATATAAAATACATGTTTATATGACAAAAATTTATTCTAAATAAAAAGTTAATTTAATATTTAATTTATTTTAATAATTATTTTTAAAAAATATTATTTAAATCATTAAGCCGAATAATCATTGCTTGTTTGTTTCGTGCATTGTCGTATATCAAATGACTTGATAGACTTTTAGTCAACTGAGACATTGTATACCTTACTTTTTTTATAAATAATTTATAAAAAAAATATTAACATAAGTTTTTAGCGTTAATTTTAAATAACTAAAAATAATAAAAATTTATGAAGATATAAAATAATTATTATACTTTTATATTTTTAATGTAATATTTTTTATTTTTATTAAAACCCCACTATTTTTATATGTTTAAATTTAATTTTAGAGATTGATATTAACAAAAATTAAGAATTTACTGTAGTTGGATGGTTTGAATCAGTGTAAAACAGTGTTGATCGTCCTTGTGATGAGATATGTCTCCTTATCAACTGGGATCACTAACACAACTTGTACAAGGGGAAAGACTTTGTGCAATAAAGCAGTGTGAAAGTGTATAAAAGTTTCCAGTCAACAAAACATGAGCGAGTGGCAAGACTTGTGCGCCAAAAACAATTTGCTCCTTCCCCACTTCTTTTGGTAACCGGATTCTCACCATTTCAAGTTCAAGTTTCGAATCATAGCTGAGTTGAGGAGAATTTGATCCTTTCTTTTCTAACCAAAATAAGTTATACACCCCTCAACAGTGTTATACTGGTACTTACGCCTTTTATAAAAGTAAACACTAGTTGTTGAACTTGATTAATTCATGCGCATAGACTAAGAAATGAGGTCAATATAATGTTTATCCTTGCAAGCAAAATTTGAAAGTAATTTGGTTTTGTGCACTGCTTGCAATCTTGATCCCAACAAAGCCATATGATTATGTCAAGCACAGAAACTACAGCTTTAAATTGAGTCGCTTTCTATATATGGATGTCATTTATATTCTCAACATATTCGTTGTTTTTAAAGAGCATGTATAAAATTGATCTACAAAAGCTTATGTGTTTTGTAAATTATTGATAATTTATTTTAATAAATTTAATAGCTAAATTTATACCATAAAATTAAATGAACATGTAATTAGGTTATTTACTCAAATACACACTGAAACTGTTCAACATCACTGCTGATGAGATCATTGAGGTCAGACAATTCATAATGCTTCTTATACTGGGCTTCGGCTTTCTTAACAAAATCCTGGGTTTGATTGTACCAACGTAAATAAGTGTGTTAGATACACAAAATTTATTACTTATTTATATTGTAATTTTAATTATATATACGACATATTAGATGAGAGGACTTTTCTATGTTAGAACGAGAGTAACAATCTTATCATAAATTATGAAGATTAAAATACACAAGTCATATAAGTTTTTCAAAAAATCATGTGATATTTTTAAATGGTAATATAAATTTTTAAATCTTTCAAATGACTTATATATTTCAATACTAACCATTCATGTCGATATCTAATGATTTTATTCTTGTCACCTTTATATAAAAGAGTTTTCTAGCTCACTTGAACCCTTTTTGCTAAAATAGGCATAAGGTAATTTGATCACAAGAAGCACCATAGATTCTTGACATAGCATAAGAAAATTTGAATAAGGCTGAAAACAAGAGAAATAATTGAAGTTATATAGCTCTCAAGCTGACTAGAACACGAGTAGAAGCTATCTTTATGATTTTATAATAAGTTGGTATGTCCGAATAATTATAAAAAGGGAAATAAATAAAAATTAAATAAAGCAGCAAGAAAAGACAGAAAAAAAGTGAGTAGATTTGTTTAAGAAATTTCTTATTTTTACTCTCTAGAAACATTATTTTAGGTTTAAATAAATTGTTGAGTTTGAAATCAATCCTTAAACATTTTTGTTAAGATTTAGTTTCATTAAGCGAATAGTTTAATATGATTAAATCTAATTCAAAATTAACACACAATTCCTAAAAAAAAACTAAAAAATATTGAAAATTCACTACACTTAAAAAACATCATTTTTCGAGCCTAAATTAAATTCAAATACTTTTATTTGACAAGCTAAAGATTGCATAGGGTAGCATCAACTGGCTAAGTACTCTATTTTTTCAACTTTATTCAACTCTTTGCATACAAAGCTATAAAGGTTAACATAAATGACTAATTTTTTTACTTATTTAATTTATCAAAGAATAAATCCTAACAAAAAAAAGTTTGGAAACTACTTTCTAATGCAATAATTTTCATATTAACAAAAAGTATATTTAATTTATATTTTAAATTTTTGAAATTTTATGTGTTAACTAGGATAAAGGTCTTTCACATGTCTAAA